GAGTGGTTAGTCCCAAAGCAGATACGACTGATACAAAGTCGAGCTTGAGAGAGTTGTCGTATTTGTATAGTGTTGGTCCTTCCTGAGTATCGGCTCTGGTGTAATATAAACCTCCTCCCGGAGCTCATCGTTAGGACGCATGTATATTTGACGTATGAGTTGCATTCCAGCAGAGATATTCGCCTGCCTGTATTGCTGCTGCTATTCACGAGTGTGGTGTTTATGTCGGCTATTATGTTCATGTGTAGTATACACCTTGTCATCATATGAGAATGTCGACTACTCCAACCACTGCTGCATCGAGCTCGGAGGAGGATTCCCCGCAGACCCCCAAGGCCAGCGAGCGGAAGTCGGCCCGAAGTGTGTCTAACCGGGGAGCTAAACGGAAGGCGAATGGTAGCAGCAGTGCTCGTGGGAGTGTCTCTCACGAGCCTGCTAAGGACGTGTCTGAGGTAGGGTTAAATGCTCGTTTCTAGTCAGCTTAACCTTGTATGCTCAGGTCCTCGGTTCGGTTCGGCTGCGTTCTGTCCACGCTAGAGTGTTGTCGTGGCACGTCGACGCCCATACGCTTGTCTCGTTGCGACTGGGCTCGAATGATGGTCTGAGGAAATGTAAGCGTCGGTGATGGTGCTCCTCGTTGGAGGTGTGTGGGAGTAGGGACGAGAATGTTGACCATGATGCGCCGAGATGAGGGCTCTCGGTCGGACCCCGACCATAGGGTGGTAGTCATATTCGACGGCAGCAGTGTCTCGATGACTAAGGACATGCGAGTGTCTGGATTCATGTGGTCGGTGCTTGTCGATTCTGGGTGGCTCGGAACATTTCGTTCGGCGGTAGGTTTAGTAGCAACTCCCCCAGTGAGATCATGATCCGAGACACGTGGGTTGATCCTCAGCGACGACGCCTCGGCATAGGCTCGCGAATGGTTAGTGGCGGTATACACTTGAAATTGCTCGGAAATGAGCTGCTTAGGTTCGGGTATTTGCGGTGTCGATGGTGTCCTCTCTTACGGGTGACCACAACAGCAATTCTAGCAGTAGCAGTACGTCGACAAGAGCATCATCGAGTGGAGACGAACTCGCGGAATGCCAACCGCTCGAGTTCGACTCGAAAGACTTCAAAGTGCTGGCCCTTCCTGCTCCGGGCTCTACTACGTTCTGGGAGAGTAATCTCTTTTCTGGTAACGGGCAGTCTGGGGGCTTCCTACAGCTTACGTGGGAGACCATGGTGAGTAGATGTTGTGGCTGTTGGTTTTAATGACGAGTTCAGGTGAGATTAGCCCAACTTGATTTGGACCT